TCTATGCAGACATGCCAAACATGCCTCAATACAACCAGAAAATGCCAGCTTTATCCATCCTGAACTAAGGAGGAAGGAGAAGACTGGACTGATGGCAGAATGATGTTGAGCAGGGTAATGAAAAATCCTGCACAGCTTTTTCTGGTTTTTCAGCTTCTGAAGGTTGATTCCAATCTCTGCAAGTTCATTGGGATGCCAGAGGGAGGGTGAGGAAGGGATGGAGTCCATGACAGGAATGGTGGCGAACAGGTTTATGTGTCGGCTGAGACTTGTAAAGAAATCTTGGTCATTCTCGGCTGTTTGGATCGTGTCCTGAAGGTATGGATGTATGTGGCCTTCAGAGCAGGCAATATGCATATGTGCATGAAAACTACTGAACAAAGACATCCTGATAAGATAGGATGAAGAAAAAATCTCCAGGTGGAACTGTATGGTTTGTTTGCAGATTTGCTCTGTGTATTTGTTCTCTGTAGGAGTGATTATTCACAGTTTTCTCTTGGCAATAAAAATGCATTTCAATCCTCCCATGGAGTGACCAAACATATTTTTGGATTATTAATTTATTGTAATATTCCCAGCTCTGAGAAATCAGTCTTGCTGAGAAGCATCCTCTGTTCAGACATGATGAAGTAATGTGGCCTCCAAGCCAACAAGAATCCCACATCCTCATCTGCTCCTCTCCCATGTAGTCAGAAATGTAACCTGATGTTTTTCACACTGCCAAACGTTTGTGGCTGACAGTACTGAAGGCCTCTGTTGCTTCAGGCAATGAAGCAATGAGAGAGCTGCCTTTGCATATTTTGTGCCTTGACTCCCTTTTTCCAGTAGGCTTTCCTACCCTTTCCACCTTTCCTTTCACTTCTTCTGCATGAGATCTCTTTGCACAGACTCTCTCAGACCTTATTTTAATTTACCTTGCTGGTTCATGGATGATGTACAATGACCATTATGTACCATGCTTGCATCTGGCTGCGATCTCATTGTGAAAACCAGGAACCAGGCTGCCGGTAGTGCTCGGTATCCTCTGACTCAGATGATTTATTCCTCATCCTGCTCACTGACCTGGCATCTTAGTTTTTCACATTCCTTGCAACAGGGACTTGTGCCAAGCAAATGTTTCCTGGGACCAGGAATGACCTAAAACTAGCTATAAATGAAGCCTCCTACTCCCAACGCTTGGCAGCCCCGCCCTTCTTGACAACTGGGGAAAGCCCCTGCAACATGTGGTATGCTGGGAACCTCCTGCAAGAACTCTCCCTGTAATCTCGGCCGTCTATCTTTAGGAGACTCTGCTGCAGAAGAGTTGAGGATGACTGCTGAGGGTTAATCCTCAACTGGAAAAAAAGGTAAGGGTGTTTCTGACTGTGTTAACTTGCACCAAGGTGAAATTCCAGTATAGGCAATGTCATCTGCACTTCTTGCACATTCGCTAGTTGAGATAAACCCTGTAAGAGAGCTAAATTATGAGCAGTGAGCTGCTCCGGCTACCCAGGGCTGTTGCTAACTGTGAGAGAATGCAAGACTTCTCTATTTTTCTTGAAGCAACGCTCACCTTTAGCACGCTACTGTGGCTGGCACAGAGTCTGGAGCCTGTAAAGCCAAGTGACTTCAAAAAACTCTCTGCAAATGAGCAGCCTAGTCCTTTTACACCTCTCTTCTCCCTCCACTATCTGATCCTTAGTCTTTAAGTAAATTATCTCACAATGCAAAAAAAACCAAAAAGCCCCCTCAACTAGTGCAGCAGTTTGAGAGCGCCTGTTTCTTCTGATTTAGTCTTCCTGATTCTTATGAAGGAGGAGGGAAAGAAAATTTTACCTGATATTTTTCATACTGGTTCAACTCTATCTTATGTCTGGGTGTTGGATTTTTTTCCATTTCGGGTTTTACTTACCTAGAAACTTTCTCTGTTTAATAATTATCATGTGTTATTCTCCTTTCTCCAGAACTGGTTGTTCCCATGTTTGTGTGCTTCATGGTTCTTTCTTAAGCAGCTACAAAGTTTTTTTTTAAATCATTTCCTCTCACTGAATTCAAATATTTCCTGGTCTTTTCAGATAAGGGATTTAAATTATACAAGTATGTAGTCCCTGCAGCAGATGTGCTATGGAAGAAAACAGGTCCCATTTTAAGATGGATGACATAATTCCTATGAGTTTTCTAGGTTTGCAGAATGTTCATCTCACACTGGAGTTTGCTAATAAGACATGAGAAAATACCTATTCTCTTTAATTATGGAGTGAAGCAAATATTCAAGTTTTAACACTCATACTGTATCTAACTTTTGAGGGCATCGCGACTTGGGCAGGTCTGAGCTTTGCAGGTCCCATTCATTTCTAGTCCTTAACACTGAAACACTAAATGCATGTGATGAGGCATGTTCTTTCAAAAGTTTATCCTGCTCAGATGGAAAATTAACTCAGAAATCTCACTGTCTTTCTCTGTCTTGACCTTTATGATTCTGTTCTTTTTGCTGTTGTTGATGCCTTGTGCCAATCTCCTTCACTGGGCTAAATCTCCTTCTCTACACTGCCTGCCTTTTCCTTTGCTGTTAGGTGACCTTTAGCCCTATCCAGTGGAATAGCAGCTAGATGTTCTGTTCTCTGAACTCTGGGGCGCAATGAGGATACGTGAGACACCAGTATCAAATGCTCTTTGGCACTGGGTTAGGTTGCTTCCTGATTAACAGCCAGTTTGGGAACTTGCTTAATCTTGGTTTTGGCTTAGCTGAAAGTATCCAAGATGTTGTAGCTGGGGCTTCCAATACAACCTACACAGACAATTGTCCTAAGCCAGGCAGGCAAAAGAAACTGGGTGAAATTGTGTTCAAAGACTTCCATGTGTTTAAGCACCGTGATTTAGGGAGCAGTGCTGATTGGAGCATGAGCAGGTTTACAGTGTGCCTTTTACTTAACTTTCAAACCATGGGAATGCTGTGGGGCAGTTTAGGATTCTCCTCTTGCCCTATGGCCAAGTCATTGCTAGATTCTGTGGCACAAAGAATAGAAAAATACTGTTTCTTGTACAGAACTAGTAATTGGCTCTGGCTAACAACAATTTTAGAGTTCAACAAACATGATTTTCCTTCTCACTTTGTGTGCCAGTTGCCATGGTAAGCAGGAAGCACAACCCAGGCATTTCCCTAAAGGGAAACTGAAGTCATGAAGGAGGTAGGAAAGGGAGACAAGCCCTGAGTTCAGCTGCCGAGTAGGAAAAAAAAAAGTATTTCATTTAACCTAATGATTCATCTGGTTTTTAGGGAGAACAGTGAGCAAGCTGCACTGCAAATACATCCACCGAGGCTACAGCCACAAGAACACCCCCCCTTCCATGTTTTGTTTTTTGTTTTGTTCCCAGGATAGAAGGGGCACATACTAATAATATTCACTTCCATGCTACAGCTCAAAGATTGGATTAATGAGAGTCAGGGAACTAAATTCATAATTTGCTTAAGTTCTTGCTTGTCCTTTACAAAGCAACACAAGTGCATATATGATGCACCAGAGGCTTCATAGTAACTTCTATTCCAGCTTGGCTTCCGCTATACAAACACTGGGATCCCACAGTTTTTCCATACTGCACTCTGCATTGCTCTGCATTATTACAGGCAAGGCAGAATTCTGCAGGAGACGTGCTAAATGGGATGACACGGTTGTACGTCACAGAAACTTCAGCATGGTAGAACTAGAAATGGTAAAAAAAAAAGATAATTTTCCCCTTGAAAATTTTAAAGTATGTCAGGTAACAGTAATTCTACAGAAGTCTCCAAGCCCTCACTTCATCTTCAGAGCTGCAAAGCAGCTGCAGTCCTCATAACCTCCAATCAGAGAAGTGTGTGGTCAGGCCCTAACCTCTAATCCCCACCATCCAAACCCACACAAACACAATTCAGTGTCCTGGCCACTCACACAACAAAAGAGGGGCTCAAACTCCATGTCAGAGGAAGACAAAAATGTTTGCACTGCATTCATAAACCAAATCCGGAAAAAAGAAAATGTTCCAAAACATCACTAGGGCACAGGTCTGTTTCTTATGAAAACTCTAGTTTAATCTAATGGCTGAGACCTGGCAAAACATCTTTCTTTTGTGGCTTTTGTTTTTCTTTCCTTTTTACACAGAGGAAAAAAGCTTAACAAAAATGCAATTCATCAGAGCTAGCAGGAAAAATAATCACAAACCAGAGTTAGTGGGATTGGGGCAGTCCCTTTCGCAGTGTCTGACTTTCAGTCCTTCCTTTGACCTGGCAGTAAATAATATTTCAGAGGGGACCAGTGCCCACAAGCACAAGATCTAAGGTCTGGACTGCTGCACAGAGCCCTCAGAAAGCTCTTGCTTCTTGCCATCCTTCCTTTCTGGGGCTGTTACAGTCCTACTCCATCTCCAGTTGAACTCAGTAGCAAGCTTTCCATTCCTTGCTTGGAGCAGAACTAGTTATCACCAAGCCTTTTCATCAATTGAGAGCAAGCAAAACTAAAACAAATAGGGATCAGCTACAGCTTCTCCCCCCACCCTTAGAGATTTTTATTTATTTTTTCTAGAGGTGGAGACAAGCAAAAGGGACAACTGCAAAACCTGGGCATGCTTGAAAGATAATATATGCTTCAGTAGACTGCTTGCATTTTCAAAGACTTGGGAGAAGATTATGGTGGAAAGTTAAATCAGTCCTTGCAGTCTGGTCTCCCCTGATCTTATTCCTCCTCTCCCTGGACAAGATCCTGCTCAGGAAGGTGTATTCAGGCCTTCTGCCCACCACAGATTAGCCAGAACTAATTAGCTACTTCATGGGCAAAAAGCCCACATTTGATCTCACACTCTCAGTGCTGCAAAAGTTGCAGCAGAAAACAGTTCCATGCATCAGCCCAAGTTTCACAGATGTGTAAAATACTATTTACGCAATTCCTTCATTTTAATTACATTTTGTTTTTAATATATTTATATAGAATGATCTTATATATATATAAAAATTTTAAAAGTGTTCACCACGACAGGCATTTCAGAATCAATAAAGAAAGAAAAAAGATTTTTATTGCACCATTTGGACTCTGGATGAGGGAAAATGTGCAGGCTTTATGGATGCTCTCTAATACAGATCTAAGTTCCTCTGAAGCTCTAAAGGTGAAAAAATAAGTACTTCGGTCTTTCTGCAGTGATACCATGAGAAGGACATCCCAGAGGACTGAGATTTATAAGGTAAAACACAGTCCTCCTTTCTGTTTACTCTCCTGCAAATAAGGCAGCTCCCACATGAGCTAACATTAACCATGTCCCTCCTTTCTGTCAGGGGATTCTCATCTTTGCCAGCTCAGCCATTTCACTCTGAGCTACATTTAACAGAAGCTGCACAAACCCCCGACTACATGGGAAGAATAAGTGCAATTTACTCACTTGTCTTCCATTGGTAAAAGTCCACAAGCAACATATGCTGGTGATATGTCATGTCTGATACTGGGGCCATCTGCAAACTTGGGAATAGCCTTTACACTGTTCACAGTCTCAGGAGAATTGAAATGAACTGCTGGGTCCCTAAAATGATCTTTGTGGAGCTGCAGAGGATGAGCCAATCTATTTAGTCTTTTCAATACCAAGAACAACCAATGTAGCTCTCTGGTACACAAAACTTCAAATTCTGGGCCAGACTCTTCTCCCATAAATCTAATCTATCCCTCTTCATAATGCTTCACAGATAAACAATTAAAAAACAAACAGAACTCCAAACAAACAAACAAATAAACACAAATCCCAAAACAAGAAGAAAACCCCATAAATCCTTTTTTAGAGAGATCAGGACTGACCCTAAAACTGACATCAGGGATAGCTTAATGAAGTTGGATCCTGCCACACAGTCAGCACCATTCAGTGGGAGATGGCATCTATCTTCTGGTTCTGGCCAACTATCAAACTCTGGTCCTGCAAGCTGACTGCAACTACCAGTATCAACATAGATCCATCATCAAGCATTACAGACTCCGCAGAAGGCTGAGTCTGAAGTTGAGAATCATCACTGTCCAACAGTGCACCTTGCAACTAAGCATGTACTTTCAGCTCTGCAGGACCTGAGGCTTTATCTGAGTGCTCTTGGAACATCAGCTGAAGGTTGGAGATGAAATTGTAGATAAGAAACAGGATCAAGCTACAAAATAGACATATCATTACAGCATCTCTGCTTATTAAAATCCAGGGCCCAGATCTGAGTTCAAATTCTGAAACATCCTTAAAAAGTATGGTCTGGATACAGATTTTAGTTGAGGTTGATCTTTAATATTAAGTAAAGATTTCTAATAATTTTCTCTTGCAGGAGTTTCACCACTTATGCCAAAAGCGCTATTACTTACCGGAATGCTGTTAAGAGCTGAGACAGTGTATTATATACAAATTGCCAGACCTCATTTCTTGTTCATACATCAACTTATATGAGAATAAGGAGGGGGGGGGAAAGTGGTTTCAGCATGCCAAAGTTTCATCACATTTTCTTTTTTCTTCTGGTACATTATTTTGTGAGCTTCTTTAGCTCTCTTCCAGGTGCCTTGGCTGTCAAAACTTCTAGGAACTCAGAGAATAAATCCTTGACCAACGTAAACTATTTTGTTGATGCAAAAAAAACCCTGGGCATCATTTCCACAACTTTGCCTTCCTCTAAACTCTTACAATACCTCATATCTCACTTTCCCAAATCATTTGCCATTAACCCAGCCATGGTGATTAAAAGCTTTCTCATGAGGCAATAAAAAAGGCATTTGGGTGCCATGTTAATGCAGCCTAGAGCTGTGCTAACTATAGGGAGCATGGAGGACTGGCAACTCCCTAGATTTTATAGGAGGCTGCACAGGCATCTTATGGTCTGGGAGTAGAATTATACAATTGTCATGAAGCTGCATATTCTGGGCCTGCTGTCCACAGCTTGCCCAGCTAAAGCATAGGCTGACATCTGTGAGAGAAAATGGACCCAAACAAAAACTCCAGGCTCTCATCTGGTTTACTATTCTCCCTTAACAAAACTGACAGCATGGATTTAGTTCTCTGCTCTGTTGCCTCTTATATGGCATTATGCACACATGAGGAGTACAGTGGGGAGGATCAAAGACTGCAACTGGTGATAGGGAAAAGCCCTCTTTTTTTTTCACACTCCCTTTGCATATGGCAGGAGAAAATTCTGCTGAAGATATATTACTTGCATTTGTGGACCCAAAACTTCTAAAAACTACTCTGGCACCTCTTCCCGTTAGCAATCAAAGAGTGGAGAGAAAGCATCATACAGACTCAGGGCCCTCCAGCCACAATAACACTAATAAAGTGACAGTCAGACTAGGAGCTCATGGGTTGAGTTTACTAACCATTTGAAACTGCTAGTACTTCAGAAAAAAAAGCCTTAAACATACATCCTTTCGGAAATTCTGGCTGACCCTCATTTTGGTGGCTATAGCACTTCATAACAGATGCTTAAACTATAGCCCATGATACCCAACAGAGGGCCTACAGACTCAGACATCTCCAGGAATGATGGCCCCTGTAAGTGCCATTACAGGGACAATCTCAGTGCTGGCAGCAACACCTGTGTACCTGTCTCCTCCGTAGTCACTAGTGACACTTAAATTGCAGAGACAGCCTAGGCTGTGCCTGACTTTGCAATCACCCACGGTGACAAAGCAGTCAATAGATGAACCTGTGGAGAATGTAGAGTTAGAAGCTTTATAAAGGAAGGTTTAATTCTATTCCCACAGCAGCTGTTGCATATCTGAGCCTGTATTTTCCTGTAACATTAATGTTCCCTTCAGGAGAGACTTTAATTCACTTCAAATCTCCCTCTCAGGACTTGTTCATGGTCTGTTCTGCAGTCCCGCAAATCATCCTCTTTACCACATTTTTAATCAATCTGAAAGCGTTGAGGTCCAGGGAGGTGACAACCAGCCATACTCTCAAAGGAACAGTGTAAAATCACAAGGAGTGGAAGTTTAAAGGAATAAGAAGCACCTGGGGACATGCCACACAGTGGCAATGAAAGACCAAGGGTCAAAGATATGTCAGTCAGGGTATAAGAGGGCAATAGCCCAAGGACATGCAGATCAGGAGATCCTCTTTCTTTTCTCTCCTGTTGGCAGTGTGGAGCTCAGCCAGAGATAGCTGCAGAGGTGTCACCTGGCTTTAAGCAATGATGAAAATAGTTGATACTGGACTTTGTTATGACCATATCTTGGCTTTCATTGATACTAGCCTGAGAAGTCCCTACACTAGGCAGCCAGCTGCACACTCATTCCTCAGCCACATGGATCTTGTCTACCCGAGGAAGGTGTCGTTGAGCACACAAAACTCATGAGCAAGACTTGGAAGATTAAAAGAACAACTAGGCGTTTCCTGTACAGCTGCTTTCATTCCAGCCCTTGCACATGCTGAAAAGAGCACATCTTTGGTGCAAGGATAGAGCTGGGGGCAGTGTTCAGGTTGTATGTTTGTCATTGGAACATCCTTGAGTGTCTCACACCCTGTGTGACTGTGACCTGCTCATGCCAGCTTTACCTTCCCCTTCAGCTATCCCCAGTCTCTTGCACTGTTTATTTACACTGTCTAAATCAAACAGTCCTTCACTAGTGTCTGGGAAACAATGGGAAGAGTTCCTAAACATCTGGATCTACCTCCTCAGCAGATGTTGTGCCCCTGCACCCAGGGCTGCAGTGTTTTGTAACAGGGTTTCCTTCAAGCCCTGTTTTCTAATTATACAGAGATTTATTTTTCCTTTTCTTCTATAGGGAGGATGAGACTTTCACAGGGCTTGTTAGACAATAAGCACAAGAAAATGCAAGTTCCTTGGGACTGGCTTACAAAGAAAAAAAAAGCAGGCAGTGAGGGACTAAGCAGAGGTGAGATAGGGAAAGAAAAGCAAGACAAAGAGACTATGACCTTCCATAGCAAAAAGCTTTGCAGGAAACCATAGAGGATTCAAGTCCATCTTGCACAAAATAACAACAGCAAAATGGCAACAGAATTGGTCTTGGACACTCCCATCCCAACCATCACAATAAAGGAATAGGAGAAGCAGCTGCTATTCAATCTGCCTCCCACTTCGTCCATCCAGAATCACGGAGCGCCTCTGGGGCTGGTAAAAGCAGCTGGTAGAGGTCTCCAGTCTCTGGCCATTCTTGGGGATGGTCATTTTGTTCCGCAGTGTCACCCCCTCAGGTGTCGTCCGCGAAGTCTCAGACAGATCACCACAAATGGGGCTCAAAGAGGTGGTCTGAGTGGGGCTCCTTATGGGTGATAATAATACCCTGGAGTCTGCTGAAGTGGTGGGGTGGTCCATAATGGGGAAAGGGGGACTGAAGAGAATCAGACTTTGGGGCCTCCCGGGCCTAGATCTATAGGAAGGCTTGGAGAACCCTGATGGCCTCTCTATCTTTGAAGACTGTGGGTTATCTCCAGCTGTCTCCCCTCCAGAGGTGCGCTTTCGGCGCAGAACGGGGGCATCCAGAGATGGGTTATGACTGGACTGAGATGGCTCCAGTGGAGGGCCAAGGCTGCCATGCCAGGGACAGGTTGAGTCCTTCTGAGCTGGGTCACTGTTTTCTTTCTCTGCTTTGGCTTTCTTCTCTGTCAGCGGGCTCTTGGGGGCCTCCAAGTGACTCCATGCCACCCGTGGCGTTTGCCTGATGGTCTGCTTGGCTTCTGCCTCCTTCTTTTCAGCAGGTGGAGCAGCATTCTGAGCCTGCAGGGGCTGGGGGATCTGGGTGTACTGAATCTTGGGTGGTATCACAGGCACAGCTCTAGCCTGGCACATCTTAATCATGAAGGAGGTCCTGACTGCCGACACACTGACGGGGGCAGAGTTACGACGGCCAGTGCTGGCATGGGCCACTGCCAGGTAATCCAAGTCTAGATCCACAGGGGGATTGAAACTAGACCCCCAAGGAACACCTTTACTGGCAGCAGGGCAGTGTGTTGGCAGGGATGGGACAGAATCACTGCTTTTTACTTCCTTCTGCCCGTATAGGAGATTCCCAGGGGCAGATGGCATGGACAGGTTCTCGAATGTGAAGAAATCTGGGGCTGGGAGGAGCGAATCCAAGTTGAGGGATGAAGGCCTAGTCTTTACTTTGCGAGGTGTTTCTTCACCTTTATTACTCAGCTGTGACTCAGGGGCAGAGCACAATGCTTTGGTGACAGTCTCTCCTCCCAGGGCAGTGTCCTGAGAGATGGATAACTCCTCCTTTGTGTTCTTTGTCTGTGAAGAACTGTCTGGGCTCTTTTGGTAGTGCAAAAACAGCTGAGGCTTTGAGGTCCAAGGGTTTTCTTTGCTCACATCCACTTTCTTTTCCTCTGGCTCTGAAAAAGGTATTCTGTAGGGTCCTGCTTCCTCAGCTGGTACTTCCTCCCTGCTGAGGGCATACTTCAGCTTCTCAGGTTTTGGAGATTCTTCTGGAGGACTTGAGCCATTCTCATCTTGCATAACTTTGCCCAAACTAGAAGGAGAGATGGGTTTTGTTTTGGACAGCTCACAAGTCACTGATAGAATGTCACTGTGTGGTTGCTGCTGATCAGTGGCATCTATGAAAGAGAATGGGATACTCCATAAACTCATCACTGTGTCTTTACTGTCCAGGGAGAGGCTGCGACTGAATCGTGGTCTAAGAGAAAGGCCTGTCTCTGCTCTCTGGCTCTGTGGATGAAACTCCTGTATCATCCTCTCCTGAATGTCCTTAGAGGTGGGGGAATGGAGAGGGCTTGTAACCCACTGATGATCCTCCCATGGCTCCACAAGTTCTAAGCTCTGCACATTATCTGTCCAGGCATCCTCATCATCCTGGTCACCAGCATCCTGGGTTCTGCTAACAGCGTGGCCCTCCTTCACCTCTGGGATTCCAGCTCCACTCAGTGCCTTGGAGGAGAATGTGTCCCTTTCATCAGTAGTCATTATCTCTTGCTTCTCCCTCTGGGTCTGGACTCTGGTAAGACCATCCTTTTCTCTCTGCTGCTGGCACGTGCTATCTTTTTCTCTCCCTGACTCTGGACATGCTCCTTTGGAACAAGAAAATCCATCATTTGGGGCAATCTTATTAAATTCCGATTGACTATGAATCTTCTGGTCCAGGCTAGGAGCAAGACATTCACTCCTGCTGTCCACCATTGGGTGGTGGTTCTTTGGAGTGGCTGTGCCAGTTGCAAGAGTACTCAGTTCAGGTAGGGCTGAGCCACAGCTCTGCTGTGCAACTGCATCAGACTGGCAGTCATGAGGGCTGTCTTGTCGCTCCATGCTGCTGGCACCAAATAAGGGCACCTGAGTTATTTGTGATGCTCTGCTTGAAGATGTCTGCTCAGCTAGTGTTGGACTCTGCCCTGGACCAGAGGAAAGATGGTCTGTTTGTACTGAAGAAGAAGATTCAGAAGTTTGGCTTGTCTTGGGGGCAGCTGCTGGCAAGAGCAAGAGCTCCTCTTCAGGTTCAATAATTTTCAGTTCCTGCTGTATCTCTGGCCATAGAGGTTCTAGAAGGGCATTTGCCGCATCCTCCTCAGTCTGAAAAACAAAAGAAATGCCATGACCTGGGAGCTCACAACCCTACCAGTAAATACTCCTCAATTTTCCCCAAACAGCCCTCTCAGAACAGACAGGGTCCCAGATGAGCACATTCATGGGTACAGAAATACAGACACACATACTGCTACCAGTTCAAGGAAGGAAATACATCTATAAACAAGTGGGGTTATGGAGGAGAAGATCCGAGGTGCAGCCAAAAGGAGGTCTGGACAGATGTACTGAAACAGTGAGCTGAATGAGTAGCTGGAATATTTCAGCCCATTTCTCAGCTCTTCCCATTCAGGCTCGCTTGGCCTTGCCAGAGAATACGCATTCCCAAAATGCACACAAACGCGAATGAATAATCTATTCAAGGAGCTATGCCAACAGATCTTTAAATAGCTGTCCAGAGATGAGTATCACTGTAAGAAACTTGGTGAAAAGGCTCTGCTAGAGATACAGAGGAGGCAAAAATAGTAAGAATTTAAAAAAATTTGTGTGCAGCAAATAGAAGAATAAAGGACTGTTCAGGCTGTCCAGGACAAATGGGACAGCAAAAATAGAAGGGAAATTCAGAGACCGTGGGTCAAAATGCTCAGACATCCGGGCAGTCTCACATCTGGAGAGTCTCAGAGCAGACAGATTGTAAGGGCTGAAATTGTATAGTTACAGGAAAAGAAGACCAAAAGGGGACAGTAGGTAGTTATGTAAAGGTAAATCACCACATGGTGCTGTAGATAGAAGTGAAATCAATTCATGGTCTGTTCTTGATCCTGCTTTGCCTAGGCTGTGGACTGAGTTTTCCCAACTACAGACACACAATGAAACTTTAAACAACGTCTCAGTCACTACCATGACATGGTCCCCCACCTTCATTCTCATGTCTTCTTGCTTACCACATCTCTTAGGCATGATCCTTCTTCTGTCTTAGCTGTCTCTATCTCCTGTTGATGACAGCTTCCTTCTGAAGAGACATCCTTCATATTGAGCTGTCCTTGCTCTGCTCTGTCTTCTGGGAGTGGCCCCTTATGAAACTCCAACACTGGTGTTTCTTCCAAGGTGGCTCTCTGCTCTAAGGACTCCTGGGGGCTCTTGGTGCTGCTTGTGCAGCTGCTTTGCCCATATGTCTTCTGATTTTCTGCAGCTGGCTGTGGGGTTTCTAAGGACACAGGTTTCCTGGCTGCCACCAGTTCCTCGGGGTGAGAGCCTGGATCAGAAATGCAAATGAAAGATGTAACTGTGACTGAAAACTTGAGTCCCGAAAAAAAGTGGTGCTGCTAAAAGCCAATACCAACTAAAAAAGATGAAGAGCTCCCTCTAGGCACAACAGGATGTTTCTGGGAGGCCATGGGCACTTCCCCGGTCTCTTTGCTGCAATAAACACACCAACCTGACCCACCCTGCTACAGCTTGGTCTCTTTTCCGCCACAAGAGCAGGCTGGAGAAACCTCCATGACACCAAGCTGTGGGGCACCTCCAGTAGCATAACTGAGGATCCACCCCCCCCCTTAACACAATGTACCTCTGGACGCTGCCACCGGCAGAGTGGGCTCCAGCTGTTTCTCCTTCCGCTCCGTTGCCAGGTCTGTCCTTGTGTGGGTCCCTGCTTCCAGAGCAGAGGGGCTTGTGCTCTCCACCATTAGGGAAGAGAGCTCCTCTAGGCTGGAAAGGGAAAGCTTCTCTTTGGTGGGCAGGCGGCAGGGCGTGCTGTTGGTGCTGATGACTGCGGATACCCGCAGGGGGACAGAGACCGCAAAGGGCTCTGAGATGTTCAGGGCTTTCCTCTGGTGACGAGGAGAGGCCTCCAAGGGAAAGAGGCTGCTTGGGAAGCCTGACTTGGTGGCTGTTTCAGAGGTGTAGAACATGAGCGCTCCTTTGGCAGAAGTCTGCTCATTTTCAGCATCCTCTGCTACCCGGAAAACCTTCAGCTGCTCAGGGGGTGACTTCACCTGTAGTGTCCGGGGAGGACCTTTCTCCCCACTCAGCTCTGAGCTTCCTTTGGCCCCCATGGCAGATCCTTCCCGCTCCCACTCATTCTCCTTGCTGAGGTCATATGTGCTGCCTGTTCCTCCTGTCCGTATCTTCGTTGGAATGAAAAACCCTCCAGTAGTCACTGACCGTTTGAACCTGCCTTTTTCATCCTCCCCTAGAGATGGGAACACAGGAGGAAGTCAACAGGAAACAAAGCACTAGCAAACAAACTTACTCTGTAAGGAGCCCTCATCAATCCCCCCAGGAAAGAGTCCTGCCCTGGTTAACACATTTCCCCAGATAGATAGAGACAGTAGGTACTGAAGATCTTCCAGACTCTAGCCCTGGGGCCTCCTTCAAACTGGGCAGGCAGGGCTGGATAGAATGCCCTCCAGTGGAAGTCACCCAAGACTTTTATTAGATACCCTTCTTAACCAGATGCAACCAAATCTAGGGCTATACACATGCCAGGCTTTGTTGGCTTATTGCAAGCACTTTTCACTTATGAATTGGAATTTCATGCCCAGAATAACCACAAAAGAAATCAAAGCAATGCAACTGCTAAGAAAGATGCAGCTAGACACAGTGGTAACTCTCAGGGGCGTGCACTGAGATAAATGACACAGAAAAGGGTCAAAAATGCATGCACACAAAGTTGGGGGCACACATCACCGTACAAAAATACACAACATGGTGAGATAGACAAAGATACAGACTGCTGCATCCATTGACGACAGTGAGACAATGGAACAGGCTGTTCAGTGAAGTTGTGGATGCCCTTTCCCTGGAAGTGTTCAAGGCCAGGTTGGATGGAGCATTGAGAAATCTGATCTAGTGATAGGTGTCCCTGCCCATAGTAGGGGGATTGAAACTAGATCTTTAAGGTCCCTTTGAACCCAAACCATTGTATGATTCTATGATCCATGATGCTGAGAATGCAGAGCTGCAATCCTTCACTATTACACTATTGATATCTCACCTTCCACTGGGAGAGAACACAACGAGTCCATGCTCTTCGCAGGCCGAATAGTTGCTTTTTCTGTGCAAAAAGAGTTTTAGAAGCAGGTATCAGATCCTGTGGCTTTGCAGGCTTCAGCCCATAAAGATCAAAGACTACACACATATAGACAGGCGTGCCAGGCAGACATCAAATTTTCCATTTTCAAGCATTCCCCCCATGTATCTGTACCACGTGGCTTATTACCCACAACACTTGTCCGCACAGCTGGGGATCTGCTAGTGCTAACAACAGCTTTGCACCTGCTGGACATGTGGAGAGCTATACTTAACCCAGCCAGTCAACACCATCTCCACTGTGAAGCAGTTAAGCATCCCAAAAGCTGTTATGTTCCACTGCCCTCCCTGATCGAGTCAGGCTATTGGATGTGGGGCACTTTTTAACTAAACTGACATAAATGCCTTTCACCTCTCATTCCCGATAGCAAATGTTGGGTTATTTTTATGTTGCTCTCCCTGGCTCTTTTGCTGATGTGAGCATGCCCTGCCTCAGGCAAGCACTCGGGGAAATTTATGAGGGCAGTAAGAAACCTATTTTCCTGGTCATTCTAGCTGGACTTGCTTGTCCAGAAACAAGCTGCCATTTGTTACTCGACACTCTACAGGTCTGTTCCTGACAGGTTTTGGAAGCTTGTAGCTGTTACTGCTCTGAAAAAGGGAGATGAGGAAATGTAGCTGGCAAGGAAGACAAGTTAGTCTCTGACAGCCCAAAAAGGGTCTGTGGAGATCTGGAAAATGTCTGGGAGCAAAGTTTGCTGTTTACAGAGTTGCACAAAGTAGGTAAAGCAGAAAGTGAGCAGGCTTGTTGGACTTCATTTGTTTATATAATTAAGGCTTCTGGCTCGAACTTTTGCATGAGCATAGGAGAAACTGCAGCTACTTTTTGCATTTATATGGAGTCCTGGCTACTTTTTGCATTTACACGGAGTCCTGGCTACGTTTTACATTTATATGGCATGATGTCTTGAGTACTGGCTCAGCTTTCCAGGAGGAACAGAATTCAAGCTGTGGAGCTCGAGTTTTGTGTGACTTACAGACTTGTGTGCATGGACACAAGCTGTGTTACATGTGCTTAGTTTCAACAGCAAGTTCATGTGTTTCCTCACATTAGGCTGTAAGCAGAGAGCACACAAAAATATAACATGGCAGTGCAAAAGTACTGCTTCTGAAAGGCACTACTTCAGTACTTAGAACTCAGTGCACGGTTTTGCATTTGTGTGTCCTGCTCACGGAAATGTACAGCCCTCTGTTGCTCAGTACTGTTCCTGGAACAAGGCTCAGCCTTCACGATCACTGGGCTCCAGTCATTCCTGGGCATCCTTGGGTTAGCACTATTTTGAGACAGAGTATTCCTTATCAAAGTGAGAAGGTGATCCCATGTTTAAAATAGGATAGAGAGCTATTTTGAGGTCTACCATAGGCACCCTATGTAAAGCCATCTGTACATGCAAAAGTTGCGGAAGGCAGGGGTTCAAAAGAAGCTGGATCCAGCATTTGGCGTCACACTAATTTCTCATACAAACAGAGACTGTCATATATGTGGTGGCAGGTAATGTTGCCAACATTAACTATTTTATTTTAAGTCTTGCAATATTTGGTAGTGGTCCTCCAGACACCAGCTCCTGGAGTCATGAGATTATATAAATAAAAATTCCATCTTCATCTTCTTTTAAAAACTAAATTCCTTGACTTGGAGATACCAAAAAGTCTAGGACATATAAACCTAAAACATTTATGAACTCAGAAAAAAAGGGTATGCTTTCTTTTAAAAACTGTGATTACTTTTAAGTCAAGTTCCTGATTTTTAGAACTTGAGTCATAATTTCTGAACACTGGGAATTGGCACTGTCATTTGATTTTCTAGGAAGCAGTGTTTAAGAGATTGCAGCTCAAAAGAGGCTAGAACTTGGGATTACAGCCAGAAGAAAAGACAACTTCTCTCTTAGAAATTCTACAAAAGCAATGGCTTCCCTCAAAGTCCTGAAAGCCAGGAGCCACAGGAACTCTTGGTGCCTTGTTTTTCACAAACACATTGAACACAGTTGGTTCTTACTGCCCTTTAGTGGAAGGACAACCCAGAAGGACAGGCTAAAAGAACAGCCATTCACCCAGTGCCATGTAAGGAACATTAGGAGGCAGAGGCTGGCTGTGCTGGAATGGACTAATCCAAACCTACATAGAATTTCCCAGTTCCCAAACTTGACAGCTGGACAAGAGGAGCCTGTTTAGGTACCAAAATGAAATATTTACTGTAGCTGTCTGGCATATCCTCCTGAAAGGCCGCTTCTTGCCATCACATGAAAACGAGACGTGCGTGAAACCACACAACAAGCATGACCCCATTAGACTATCCCAAGTCTAATGGCATAAGTGGCATGTGGATACAGGTTGCCCCATGCTATCAACATCACAGGAAAAAGTTTCCGAGAGAAACACTTAACTGAAAGGTGTGTTCTTACCAGAGAGCTTCTGTGCCCTTACAAAGACACTCCCATTTCGACTCAGTTTAGACTTTGATTCTGATCCAGAGCGGCCCAAGTTAAATATCGACTTCCATTTCTTGGACTTTGTGGATAATTTTCTCCTGGAAGGAAAAAAGGCTCAGGAGGTTACTGAACCCTAGAGACTTTTACCTTTTTAATATCCCACAAAGACCTCTGAGCTGTCTCCCCTCAACACTGTCCCTCTTTTCTTCCCACATCTCATTTAATTCTAAAGCATGCAAGGCATAGCTGCTATACAACCAACTCTTGGTTATATAGCTAGCAATTACTCTGCAAATGATTTATCTGTATTACTGATTTAACCATTTCATGGATGGAAAGTCACCTAAACCTTTAGATAGTTGGGTCTGGCATCATGCTACAGCAACTGTGATTGACTGAGCAATCACCCATGCTTTTGTCCAGAAAGAAGAGGTTTCCAAGGCTTGGACTATCATGCAATACACCAAAGAAAAATTGCCTTTTTAACAGGTTTTAATGATACAATGCATGATAAATTTCAGAGAATGGATGGAACCGGTATAAGTGCTCAGTGCAAAAACTATCCTGTAAAGACCACATTTTATGATGAAAATAAAAGGATCCCTTAATAAAACTAGCTATTAATGCTTCTCAAGCCAACATTAATTTAATCATAGGTGTTATATATTCTTATGCAAGTATAATGTACTAACCAAATAACAGGAGGCTTAAGGGAATTAAATAATTTTCTCATTATTGTCAGAGGAAGTGGAACATTGTTTCCCTGGGTCTCTTTGGAAATCACAGTTTTATGCAGAAAGAAACTGCCAGTCCTGTAGCCATTTTTTTTCCTATGCATATTTCTGCATGAAGCTCTGTTTTAGTTCCTTCACATATCCATTCTGATTCCTCCTTCAATCTCCCCTCTTCCAGAGGAAGAACTTTCTTATCTCCATGTCTTGCTCTCCATAATGGGCTTTCTACCCCCATAGTTCTACTTTTCTTTCAGATCAGTACTCAGAAGAGTACAAATCAGTCCTACAAACAGGATTGATATCTTGGGGATAGGACTGTTCTCTTCAGTGAGAAAGGAAAAGGCACTCTAGAGGGACAATACATCCTTTTGTCTTAAGCTGGTTATCTTCTTGCCAGTATTCTGTTAGACGGCTCCTTTTTGCTTTAATATATTGAGTGACAATAAATATCTTTTCTCTGGTGCTTTATGGGTCAGTAGATTAATGAGCCTTCTGCTGCAGAGGCTGTAATCTATCAGAACCTGGCAGTAGAGTGGCCATATATTAACAGTTAGATAGACCAATAGATAAATACTTAGGCTGGGCCACTGTGCCAACAACTGCAGCAATCTCAGCTGAAATAGGACTCTTCTCCTGGCACAGACATAGCTGGCATAGGTACTACTATCTAAGTATCTCTCCGTGCTGGGAGTGAAAATTAGCCTTACTACTTGGCCATAATTGCAGAGGAACCTGGCAAATGATGAAGCTGAGCAGGTCAGTGGCACCAGGCGTGCCGTGGATCAGCCACCAGCAGGTGGAACTTGTAGGCGAGCTGTGCCCCAACCTGCTCCACGTTCATCCTGTGTTTAGTCAAATTCTGAGCTGGCATAACGATGCAAAGGCAGCTAATTCCTCCCACAGGACGCCTATGAAGTTCTACCCTGATGGAGGGATGAGGAGTAGTGGAGCTATGAACCCAGTAACTGCAATACTTCTCAGTAGCAGCTGTGCCTCTTTTGAGAAAGGCACAGAATTTTCTCCTGATGGTGGTTGTAGATTCATGTGTGCAGGTGTGGGGGTACCGTGCTAACAAAAGGATTATTCCCAATCACACTAGGGAGCCTGCACTTGTTTATTTGCACTTCAACTCCTCTTGACACTCACTTGCTGTCGGGGAGGTCAACAACTGTGTGGAAGAAGGACCCAGTTACAGGCACAATTTCAGGCAAGCTGTTCTCTCTCCTCTCCTTCCGAGCAGGGTGGGATGCAGACAGACTCCGTGCCTGTGCTTCTTCCAGGCTCACCAGTTTCATTGGCAGGGAGGCTGAGGGGAGGGTCAGACTTTTCACAACTGATGCACTCTCTGAAAAGCAAGAAAATACATTCCAGCCTGGGGTGAGGAGAGACGAGAGAAAGAATTTCATGTCTTTATTTGACTAGAACATCTCCTGTGGAGGGGGGAAAGGAGTGGCACGTGCAGGGAGAAAGGCTTTTTTTCAGATAAGTCTTTCAACTCCCCAGCAACGCTATCCGAGTGTATTCCCATCAGGGACCATGCTTGCCAGCCAAAGGCACTTCTGTGTGAAAGAGGTGTCTCTGAAAACCACCAGGATTCACACAGTCCCTTTTCTCCTCCCTCCTCCACCCACTCTCACCCTAACCCGATATTGGAGTGGTTCAGTCCCTGATCCAAATCTGGTGCCTAGTTCTTTCTCTCACTTCCACATCTTTCTCCTTGTCTTGCTCCAGGAAGGGGAATTGTTCTAAAAGCCAGCAATACTTTAACTTTCTAATCCATTTCAGGGCCACAGAAACAGTGGGGCTGACAGTCCGGGAAACTGAAAGCGCCTGTTTACAGGGGCAGTGGAAGAGCCAACCTCCCATATGCCACCCCAGCAACAGTCCTGTCCTGAACAGACTGCCCCGAGGTGTGTGAAGGAAGCGCAGGCTCTGGAGTCCACCTGGCACTTAGCCCTGCTGCTGAAGCAGGGTGCAAGTTCCTGCCTCTGCAGAGGGGCTGGCTGAAGGGGCACTTTCCCACTAAGAATCAACCGAGTTCATCAGCATGTTCCTCTCTTGACTCCATATGGCTATTAAAATACCAGCACTTCTCAAAGCTGGGCCAGTTTTGGGTCTGTGACCTGCAGTACAACCAGAAATCTTAGAATTTACTAGCCAGTGTTTCACTACAATGCTTAAAGCAGTACAGGAGCAGTTGCTCACTCTGTGCCTTCTGCCAGGGCATAATAAAGGCATAGGAATGACAACTTCACCACAGTGCAGGGGTGTTACAAGTTGAAAAGGGCACCACACCAGAATCGTGGGATATAGGGACAGACTAGCACATGTTAAGGTAAAGATGGGCAGGACAAGCTGACACAGGGCTGGAAAGCAGAAAGGTGGATACTCCCCGAGTTCTGAAGGTATTACAAGTCTTTACAGTGTGTAAAACAGAAAGGTGCATATTTCTGAAATTATTTGAGGTCAATGTGGATCTAAACCTTCTCACTTCACAGCCTTTGCCAACAAAACCATCTCTAAACAACAAAACCAGCATCTCAGAAAACTGTTGATGTCCCAGGAAAAAAAAACCTCTTACATAAAACATCATCAGGAACAAGACATAAGTTTTTGGAACAAAAAAATTAACTTTTGTCCTGGGAGTGTGACCTCTGACTTGGGTGGATATGGTGGCTGGAGGGCAGGTATTGTTGGTATGAGGAATTGTAACTGGGGGAGCCTGAGAGAAGAATTGAGACTGTGGCTGATGGACTTGGAGAGAGAGCTTAGACCAGGATTGAGAATCTGTCAGGTAGTCTTCCTTTTATGGAAAGCATTAAGCCAGATGAGATCAGGCAAAAGATGACATAGGACAACCTGAGAAAACACTGAAGGAGGCTAATATTCAGAAAAAAAATGTTGAAGACAACAAGAATAATAAGGTATTGGGCTCAGGGTGTCTTTGGGGGACTCTGTCATGCTGGTAAGGGTTAATGTGCTTGAAATATTAGTTGAAAGGAGAGCTGGAGTACATGACAAGTGACAGCGTGAAGTGGCTCAGGGAGGTTGTTACCGATGTTCTCCGCAGAGCTGGCTTTTCTGTTGTTGTTGAAGATCTGATCGACGTGATTCAGGATGAACTCAATCACCAGTTGCTGCACTCGCACCTCCAGGAAAGCTGCATCCCCATTGCAGCCAACTGCCTCAATCTCCTTTGACCTGCATGAGGAAAGAAGTGTATCAGTTCTGAGAATTGCCACACACAGCCCCTGGGAAGGAAAGACCAAATTTCTTCCTGCAAGCTTTGGAACAGGAATGATTTCCCCACTCTTGCTGCACTTCTTGTTCTCCTTTCCTCCCAGGCCCTCATCCTCTCTTTGCCTTTTCACTTTTTTAAAAATTATTTTCCTTGTTTTCTTTGCAACCTCTGTTATTTTCTTTCCTGACTGTGTTATTTTCCCTACTTGGCTTTTACAGTCTTCAACACAGATAAGATTGTGACTCTCAAACTCCATCCTTGTCTCTCCTTTCTCCTCTTTTAGCTATTTCAAAATTGGGCCTGAAAGACAACACAGGAGCTTTCAAATGCTGCTTCTAGATCCCTACTCAATGCTTCAATATCTCTTAGTGAAATCCCTTAGAACCCTGCTCAGGTCTTCCCCACGTCAATTTTTTCAACGCTTTGCCGTGTGCCCCAGTAGTCTCTTCTCTGCCCCCCTGTACTCCCACATTCTCACTCTTGCTCTCAGCAAAGAAACATTCCTTATCTTGACATGCCGAAGTGTTGCTGAAGAAATTATCTCTGGGCAATGGATCCTTTGTAAAGTTAGTGACTGGTGTGTTAGATAATAGCTTGGGGCATTGCCAAGAGGATAACCCTGTAAGGAGACTGCAGTTGCATTGCCTGGTCCTTCCTTTTCCTCCCTGGGACTTGTACTTATGAAAGACTGCAAAGAGAAACAGATTATGGTTTTTTTTGACAAGGATAGATGCTAGAATGAAATTGTTTCGGTAGTAAAGGCCCACTTTATTATATTCAATAGAGTCAACATTTGATTCTTTTTCAGAACCTGCTCTGCTAGTTTTGTGATTTAGAAGGGTGAGATAACTCTTTAGAGAATGCTTTTCAGGCCTGTACCTCTCTAGCCAATGTCCTTTGCCAGCCCAGGGTTTCCAGTACCTGCTCTGCCATCACACCTTTCCTGCCCAGCTGCTGTCCTGGACTCTCCCTGCATAGTTCATTCCTCTAAATACAGGCGTACTGGATGGACAGCGAAGACAATTTCAGCAGCATATAAAACATTTCTTTTTTTTCCCCAGACTCTATTTTTTCTTGTTCTTCTTAGCTCTACAACATATCAGCCAGACCTCTGCCTGAATCTTATCCAGGCTTCTTCCCAGCAGAGTGCCAGGCATTGAAACATGATAAACTAGGTGGTGATCTCAGATCTGACACTGGCCGCCATTTTAAGCCCACCAAGCTCATCTCACTTTTGGGCAAGCAGATCTGGGCACAGGTCTGCAGTATTATTGCCCTGTTGCTCTCCCTTCCAAGCCTTGCTGTCTCTCACCACTCCACTGCAGAAGCACTCGCACCATGAAAAATGTCATTAACGTTCCCCAGTGATGAGTAACTCCTCATTTTTAAATCTATGCTCAACTTGCAAATAGCAACTTCTTTTTAATAAGAAACACACAAAACCACAAGTTTCCTTGGATGCTGGCAGTAAAACCTTAGATTATTCAACCTGGAAGAGCTGTTTGCTCTGCTCTGCTCTTCCCTTTAGTTGTTCAGCTTTTCCCTGTCTTTGCATTTTCCTCAGGTGATTGGGTCTTCAGGCTCAGGTGCTGGCATTCACCTTGGAGCTCAGTATGGTGCTCTGGACAAGAGGACTTTCTACTGTACCTGAGGAGATTTGGAGCCCACACCAAGGCCAGGTTTCTGGTGTGCATGTTGGTCATGTTGCTGAAGGAGGCCAGGTGAGTCAGATGCTTGATCAGGTATTCCAGCGTTCTGCAGTGGTTTCACATAAAGAAAGAAAAATGTGTCAGCTTATCAGTGCCTGCCCACTGGGACAGCAAGGCTCAAACCCAGCTCTGTCCCCTTCTCAAGGAAGTCAGTGCCTGCAATGGCACAACAGACCCCACAGGGTAGAGGATACACAGCATCAGCATTTCCATGGGATGGCAATGAACACCTACAACTGTGCTCTGGGGTTGCCAAGGATGGGGCATGAACCTAAGTGTCCTTAGCAAGATGGGAGCAAAGAAGATGGGAGCTGGATGGAAGAGGAAGCGGGATTATGCAAAGACTGAGCTGTTGCTCAAGCACCTCCAGAAGATCATCTTCTCCTTACCACACCTAGGACACTGGCCAAGGGTGCCCTAGCAGTCAGAGCTGGGGAAGGAGGATGACAGACTGCAGCAGGGAGATCTTGTTCTGTCTCTAACAACACTTTGTTCAATGACATTTAAATGCCAGATAAGTTGTTGTCAGATTTGGAAATGGTGAGTCAGCTTTGGGGAATTGATTTCTGGAAATGAATACCAGTGCTGTTTCAGGCAATATTCCCTGATGGTGAGGATCAGCACAGTGATCCTCAGCACCTCAGGGGACACGTTCTTACCTGTAATGTGATGGTGGGAGCTCCTGGATGACATTTTGAATTCTTGCCAACTGCTCGTCCTCGGGGAAGCGTGATACTGCTTCCTGCAGAGATACAAGGAAACAATACAACCTGGCAGTGGACTTAGGGGAAAAGGAAAAGGGATTAAAAAGGGTCACACGAGACAGCCTATCTCGGAGGGAATGCTCTCTTGTTACCTTACAGAGCTACTGGTAGAAGAGGTTGCTTTGTGCCCCCAACACAGCAGAGATTTCCTGCACTGTTACTTCACGTCTCAGTACATCATCCACAGACATTCAGACAAGGTGGTCAGTGTTTAGGGGAGAGGGGCATTTAAGGACTTAGACTTTCAATTATGAACTATGGGGAATTGGAGTTTGTTTGTTTGTTTGTTTGGAGTTTTTTTAATGATTCTTTTCCCTTTTTTTAACTTGGGCAGTGATGGGTGAAATAAAAAAAGAGGAAACAAGACAAGTGAAAATAATGGAAAAAGTAAAAAACAGTGATACATTCCCCCACTCCACAAACTGTGTTAAAAATCAATCAGGTTTTTGAAGTCCTGTGTTATGAGAACACCTTTAATATACATGTTTCATATTTTCCAAATAAGCAATATTTTGACTGTCACATGAAGATAGCTACAGGGATTGTTTGTGTGAGTTTTATGATGGGAGTTTTATGATGGGAGAAGCCTTAGCAAAATCACTGTCTAGGTAGATTAATAAATTCTTATACTCAGGGTTAGACAGAATCAAGGCTATACGTCTTGGTCTTGAGCAAATCTCTACAGACCAAGAGCTTAGAGAGCCACGATAGACTTTTGTCTGCATTCTTAGGAGTTCACTGCGCTGGTATTCATCTGCTCAGCCATTCCCTTTCAGTATGTGTGCTGGGGGAGGACAAACCACCAGAAAGTTCAAACAATGCATGACTGTCTGGGAAACTCCTGCCTATCCTACTGCCACTGGAGTTTGGAGCAAGTTCAAGGAAAGATGCTGCGACCCACATTGCCAGCAGAATCTGTGCCTACAGACAGACGTCAGCAATGGAAAGGAAGGAAACAACCCTTCCCCAACCATTCGTTGCTTAAACATTGGGAACCTGAATTTGCCAGCCACAACCAAAGAAGCATCTTCTTGTAACATCCACACTGATGATGCTACCCTCTCTGTTTTTGTCACTGTCCTTTTCCCAGCAGATCACTTCTCACGTACAAGGACCAGCAAAATAAACATCGCCAGTTTCAAGGACAGAGATGTGATAGCAAAGAAAAACAAGCTCACTCACTAGGTTGGTGTATATGAGATGCAGAGGTACTTGTTTTGCCAAATAACTCCTTCTAATGTTTTTTACACATAACTACAGGTCTTTTTCCTTTTCTTTTTTTTTTTTTAAAGCCTATTACCATCAGCCTAGAAATCCTATATAGAAGAGCTCTTATGATCTTGGTATAAGGTTTCCAGTTCAATAGCCTTGTCCAAAGATGGAGACGGAGAGAAATAAAACATTTAACTGGCCCACCTAAAGCATTAGATTTCAAGTAGATTGTTCATGATATTTTCTCCCCCAGAGCTGATTTTCATTCCCATATTTAACTTCCTAGTCTCAAAGACCCAATGATTTGACAGCAAGTGAACACCAACTTCTCTGAGGTCATGACCTGTTCAAACCTCTGAGGAACATTTTTGACTCATATAAATTGTGCCTTTGAAATCTGAGTCCCCCTCCAAAACTGTGGATCACAGTAGCAGAATACAGAATTCAAGGAAGAACCAAAAATTCCATTTATTACACACTAGTTGATTGTGGTATGAATTTATGTAATTCAGGATTTTTTATACTCCACTAGTGACTCTGGGAGTGCATGATTCATAAGCCCTGGTTAACAAGTGGAATAGAGTCCAGAGAGAAAGTAGGCTTGGCCTCCTAGAGCTGATTTGCTCTGAGGGAGTACTTGATCCCTCTATGTCCAGGCTAGAACAAGCCAAGAAGAGTCAGTTTATCTATCCTGAGAAACAACCATCCATCACTAGAATACAAGATGGCAATCATTTAGCAAATGTTGATAGCCAGTGAGGTCATGACTGGGAAGTCACACCTGTGAACGTGACATAGTGATGACCAAATAGCCACTCCCTCCCTAGTCATTAAGAATTTGACTTTCCTTAGACAAAAATCTCTGAATCACTCTGATGACTCAAAGTGCAGCCTACCCCAACTCAGAGACAGCTCTGACTGAGTCAGGCTGGGCTTAACAAGTGTTCTTTATTCCTACCAGCACTCACTTGCTGAGGTACAGCTGCCCCTGTTCCCTATTCAGACACCCCACGCATACACACACTCCTAGTGGTTGGTCCTTGGGGAATTGGTCTTTTTTCTTTCTTTCCTCCTGGTATATGACTGTGCTTCCTGTCAGCTGGATTGCCAATTATAAATCCGTACTGAGTAGATTACATGAATAATGGATTTTGTGGCTGAGCGGACAAATTGAAAGGCCAGAGACGAAAAAAAAACAACCCTTTAGGTCAGCCCAAAGTGATAACATTTTGAGAGTTGGCATAAGATTTTTGAAAACAATTGTTCAAGGCTGACAAAAGCATCACACTCAACCACACATTAAAGAAATTATATTATAAATTTTGGGCTGTTTAACCCTTTTCTGAAAGATATTTTATATAAGTTAGATGTGTTGATATAATGTTGAAACATTTCCTTTAGAAAGTATTTGTAGAAGAAACACTTTGTTACAGAAATGTTTTTCCTTTTGTTTTTGAATAAAGCTATTTACCAAATGTATCTACTGAAAATCTGCAAGTCATCATTCCAAAACTGCACCTTTCAGCAAACATTCTTTCCTAAAAAAGTTTCCATCTAAATCGTCATGTTTCCTTTACAGCATTTTTCTTTCGTAAATCAGTAGTGATGGCCAGAAAGACACCAGCCAAATAGCTTCAACAAGAATGAAACTCATCAGTTACAGTGCATGGTTGAATAATGTCCTGTATTTTCAAGATCCTATTCATCCTGACTATCTCCAGAGATCCTACCCTATATCCTCAGAATGCTTATCTCCTGAGGATACAGGTCAATTTTTCAAATCTGCTCAGAATTTTTCCTGAAAATTTGGGTATACATCACCTTGAAACATAGACCAGTTTTACTTAAAATTTGGCATCAAAACAGCAAGACACCTAAGACTATTGCATATCTGTCAGGCAGCACAGCGAGCCACTTTCCACCCCTTGTTCCCCAGTACAGTTGTGTCCTAACAGCTACCTGACTTTTTATAGCAGGTTGCTGCTTGGCTGGTTCCATCTGGCTTTGCCCCACAACAAGCTCCCCCATCCACAGATATGCCTGCCTCTTCCTATAGCAGGCAACAGGCAATTCTCTTTGGAGAGTGTCTTCTTGCGTGGAGCCAGTGGATCTCCCTCAGTGCCTCCTGTGCCATAGCAGCATCGCTTGAAAGTGTTTAATTCAGGATAGAGGCAACGCAGACAGAAACACCTGATTTTGCAGAATGTCTTCTCTGTAACGTTTTTGGCAATGACTGTCCCCTCCTCCTCCCAGCAAATGGGAAGGAGTAGGACAACAGAAATTCTTAACAAAGGATGGATGTTTCTGACACTCAGAATACAATAATTCCCATCCCTCCACCCCAGTTATCCATAGAAGTTGGTGAATTCTTTTAGCTGCAAATGCATACCTTTGACACATAAGATTTCAACCCCAGTGATGGGATTTAAAATTGTTGATGTCATAAAAAACTGAAAGTGAATTTAGAGTGGTAAGAAGCAGATAACTTTAACAACAAGCATAGCTTGCTATGCCAGTTTTTAATAAAATATTATCTGCCATCAAAATTAGCCAACTCTTAAAAAATTCAGGCATTGTGGTGTTATTTTTCTGCTCCCCTGCTATCTGCTCCTGGGCTCCAACTCCATCCATGTATAATCTATGGCAGTTTTACAGAATCAAGTAACTACTCCCTGAATTGTAATCTCTTTAAACAAAGTTAAAGATTTCTGCTTGGCCAGTTGCCACTTTCCTCTGCCATTTGTATTTATGATGTGATCCTGACTGACCTGATATGCCATAGCTGGCATAACCTGCATCATCATTTGCACTCCTACAAACTATAAAAAATGCTACAGATGCAGAAAAGCTGATGCTTTTACACATGGGCTGAGAAATCAGTTTGTGCAAATGTCAGTGACAGTTGGAGGGACAGGAATGAGGAAACCACACCCTTGTGATTATGATCACAAGCCCCAGGTGACACAGAAGACTCTCAGTGATGGACAGTAATGAGGAAAAGAAAGAGCATTTGTAATTCTGAGAGGAGGTGCACAGTGGGGAGAGAGGCAGCAGGGAAGCAATGCAGTTAAAAAATGAGAAGATGAAGGGGAGGAAACAGCAGACAAACTGAGAGAAATAAACATTAAATGGTGAAAAGAAACAAGGACAGGGAAAGAGAGCCAACACAAGATGAGAAGGGAAGAACACTGAGAAGTGTTTATATGGATAGATGCACCAGAAGCCAGGACATTGGAGTGAATCCCAAGCAGCTGTCATGGAGGAATCTGCAGCACATCCACATGGCTGCAGAGGAACAAGAACAGCCAAGGGTCTCACCGTGAATTTCTTGTAGAGCTCATAAGTGAGGAGAGGGTTGGGCAGTTCCCTGAAATACAGCTTGCAGAGTGACCCCACGCAGTGGATGTCCTGAAGGTACACTTCCCTTGTTAGATCCGGGCATTGGTCAGAAACAAACTCCTGTCTGAAACAATATGGAAACATAACAATATGGGTGAATAAGAGCCACAGCAGGGCAGTACTCCACCCTCAGTACTCCTTTACAGCTACAGAAAAAACAAACTGGAAAGCAGAAATGTCTCTGCAGGCTGGCCCAGATTGTCTGCCATGTTCTGGCCTTGAGGTTTCCACTAGTCTCCATTATCCCTAACACAGTCCCATGAGGGGACTCCAAACTGATATAAAGAGATTGCTTTCTCTTAAAGTGAGAGAGAACAACTCAGTATTTGTGCTGAGCCCCTCCATGCCTTTCCCATTAATAGATGCAGAGAGAGAGAGTTTTTTACTTTGTCATGGGCTTGTCCTTGAAATGTTGTATTTCCCTGTTACCAATTTCAGAGACAATTTATCTTCTGCATCAGTATAGAGCTCTGTTGGCCACAGTCTATGTCTGAGGGATTAACACCGAAAAGGTACTGAGCAGTGTCACTGAATTCCTCTGACACTCAAATACGCCGCCCTTACCTCAACTTTTGTATGTTGGATGTCACTCCTGAGAGGCGGTAGATCCCATCCACAATGCCATGAGTCTCAATGAACTCCGCACAGCTCTTCAGCACATAGGGGACTAGGAGAAGAAAGCAAGGCAAGATGCCCAATGAATACACACTGACAACTTCCACAAGTCACCACAGAGGAGACGGTTACACGAAAAAACAGCAGAGGCTCTCTGCAGATGCAGGCAAGGGTACAGCAATGGGAGAAATACAGACCAAAAGTAGACCCTGAAAAGTGACCATGAGGGTATGCTATGGTTGTGCCATGCCATGCTCATTTGCAATGACTAACCCTGAAGTCACAGAAACATTGTAGAAAGTAAGGTAGGGTTTCTCTCTCTTCCTTTTTCTTTTCCTTAAAAAAAAAAATAAAAGAAGCTATTTCATTCTAATTGAAAGCATGCGGTAAAGCATGAGGTCCTGGGAACCTCCCCCCTCCCCAGTCTAGGCCTGTAGCCTTGCTGAATTGTGCCAAAAGGTCTGATTGGCTTGGATAAAAATCAGAGAAGCATTCACACTTCCATATAAGCCTACATACCCACAGTTTAGTGCTCATAAACTCCCACAGAGGGGTTATAAAGTTCAAATATTGACTAGATCTGCACACTGACTAAACCTGACATCTGCTTCAAAAGAACTCCAGCAACATAACTAGACAAAGACTTAACCAGTCTTAAAGCTGAGAGGAGCCTGAGGCACAACATTTACATCCAGACCTGGATCCAAAGTATATGTTTATTTTTTCCCCATTATATAGGTATAAGAACCTCCCATTTTCTTGGTCAGACCAAGCCTCCCCGTCCACAGTACTATAACAACCCTAGCTATAACAATAACAGTAAGAAAGCCCTTCCTTATTAGGTGCTAGAAACTACTGTGTATTTAATGCAATGCTTCATACAGCCATAGGCACAAAAGTCAGTAAATGCAGAAGTTAAAAGTTCCTCATTGTAACGCTGACTCTGCTGCACTGCACATTTGGAAAGCTGTATGGAAGAAAACAAAGTCATAGACTTGACTGGAAAGCCAGGCATAGGAATTCCTTCAGCGTTGTGGCACCACAGAGACAATGCCTCTGGCTGGACCTTCCCTGAGTTCTGCTCAAAGGTCAGGACCATAATGACATATTAACATGTGCTTCATCAGATGGCATCCAATGATAGCCTGAAAAAAACCAGCTGGTACATTACTGTATTTCTCCTGGGAGCCACTGAGGCCAGAGCCAGCTCACGGGCAGACCTGCCCCTACCAAGCAATCCAGGCCACAGAATCTGGTGAGGAACCAAGCTGGTTCCTACCTCAGTGACACACTACTACCAAGCCCAATCACTCAGGGAAGTGCTACCCTTCTGCCTCCTGACCCTTACCTAAGGAAGTGAAGAGGTCCTTTTCTGTGACCCTTCTCTTCCCTTTTGGCAAACCCAAATGTAGGAATACGCAAAGTGCCAGTGATTACTTGGAAGCCCAAACAATCCAAACAGACTAATGCTTCTCAGTCAAAGAAGCCTCTCCAGAACAACAGGGAAAATTTGACTTTATGAGCAAGGACTCGTAATGCAGGTACATTAGTCATGCTATGCTACACTCAAAGCCCTTGCACTGATTTTTAAGAACTTCAGGTTGCTGGACTAAGACTAACTGTTGAGCTCACATCAGAGGCCCCAGCCTACTACAGCAATGTTCAAGGGTAACCATGAGGTCACCAAGAGAACAGGTGAAGTCTACAGAATGAAAGCTTTGTCCACGATAGTCACAGAGTTATAGTAGTTTCTCCTCAAGGACTTCTGAGGAGGCATCACATCAGTGCCTTCCAGAACAAACATGGGAAACGTTCCTTTCAGTGCCTACAATACCTGCTTCCTAGGAGGACTTAATGGTGTGGAAGGAGTCAGAGTAAAAAAATAAGTACAAAATCTCCTTAATATCTTGACAAGAAAAGTCCAAGTGACACATCAAGAAAGAGGACCTTCCTATCTCTGAGTAAGTTCTGATTATCTGGAACTGCAGTAGGGGACTCAGATCATATGATGATGAGCATGCTAAAAATAAAAAAGGGGAAAGACAAATTACTTCAGGCCTCACTCCATTTCTGGATAGTCAGGCTGTAACCTCTTTATGGAAGGAGCTATGCATACACAGCATATTGAGATTTTCTTCTTGGTAGGGGTCTCTAGAAATAAATGTAATGCAATCAGCAAAAATGAAAGTTAGGCAGATCCACTTTCACCTCAGATCTATTTGGGTGGGAAAATGGAAACCATGCGACCTGAAAAGAGAATAATTAATTGAACAGAAAACATATTTGATCAGGATAGCCATGAGACAAGGTTTGTTTAAAAGTTTAACAGTCTTTCATATAGACAAGCTTCATATGATGGTGACTAGCTGCCACAAGAATGGAGTCCTTTATTACATACTTTATTTAGATACTTTTTTAAACCTCAGTGTTAAGAATAAGAACACCAACAAAAAATGCATATACTCATATTTGTTGTGACTAATTGAACCTCTTGAAAGTAAGACCTATTAAATCACACTGGTTTTTTGGCTGAGTTTTAAGTTTCCGTGTAATAAATTAGGTCAAGAGGCCTCAGGCAGGTAAGCAAACCCCCCATACACAAACCAGAGAAGGCTAGATCCGTCTGTTGAGGACTGGTAAGCAAAAACAGGGGTCTGAGGGGAACAATCTGTAGCAAATGTATAAAATTCAACCCATTTTTTAAAGTGAGTGAAGACTCCACAGTAGAGACAACCTATAGATTGCAGATAGCCAATATGCAGCAACCTCTGCCAGCATCTCTTACTGCAGCCCTGAACTCTTCCTTTTCCAGCCCTGGACTTCTCACATATCTTTGCTGGTGCCCTTCACTCATCATGTACAAGATTTCCTGCCATATCAGGTCTTTGGCTCGTACGAAGAGAAACAGCCAGTTACGCCAAAATTTGTGGCGGTTTTATGATGTCGAAAAAAATCCCACATAGGACACTTTTCACTTCCAACTGAAAATTACAGACTTTGACCTCAAGTCCCTGGAGGTGAAGGGACTGCATCAGCTTCCTGCAAATCAAGCCCTAAATGCAGCTCTTGTATGAAACTGGAGCACAATAAATGTTTTCTTTGAGCAGAACCTGTAGCTCTGACATTCCTGAGCAGCTCTGATCTCCTGCAAGGCTGAGTCTTTTGGGCACTTGGGGGAGGTGAGGTTAGGGCAGCAGTGTGCAGCTCTCTACCATTTCCAGCCATTTCTGAGGTAGTTTGATTATTTCGGATAAAACTTCTGATGAACCAAGGCTGTGATCAATCCTGAATGGAGGGAGGTACAGACTCTGGCATGTGCTTTACAACAGGACTCTACTGGCATTACAGGGCATATGTAAATCACAGACCTGGGTTTCTCTCGAAGCAAGATCAGATGTGGATGGGAATTTGTAGCAAGGTCTGTACGTGCAAACACAGAAAGGAGTGGGTGGGGGGTGTCCAATCTTGACACTTCTATAATTAAAACTGCTCTGAAGTCTTAGAATTTGGAAGAGGCAGCTGGTGTCACACAGACCCCGCTTGTTCTGCCAGACAGCCAAACTGTCCTCATTTAAAACTACAATAGAAACCAGATGGAGGAGGAGAAGAGAGCATGGAGCAAGGCATCAGTGAGAAGGGAAATTGAGTTATAAACATACGGCACACAAAAGACAATACTTCTCTTCCCCTAGACAAAAATAAAACATAAAGGCAGTCACAGTAACTCGTTCCACTCACTGGATATCACCTCCAAGCCCAGTGTATGCAGACATTCACCTTCACCAGAGTCTTTTTCAAGACCACAGCTCATGCCACCTCCTTTATATGTCTGCTGCTCCTGCTAGGTCAGGTACCATGTCTTCCTCCTTCTGATCCCTCTGGCTTTCCGTGCCAGCAGTGGGCATGGAACTTCTCATCTCTCAGCATTGCTGGTATGGAGGGGGGCTCTCCCTTCTGTCCCTTCCCAGCCATAGTGGTGCCACCCACCAAACCTCCCCACCAGCAAGGAAGGTGCTCATTCTTTGCCTGTCTGACAAAGGCTTCACCTGGCACTAGACTGAGCATTTTGGCTAAGCTGGGGAGAGCTTTAAGCATGAACCTGTCTGAATCACCAAGGAGCCCAAGTAGGAGAGGACGCTAGGGAAGGAGGGAGTGATCTCATCTAATGACTGCTGGGAGGATGGCTTCCTGGCCTCTCACCAAAGCCAGCAAAGAGCAAGAAAGACCCTGATCCAGCAGGAGATGCAGGCAATATCCTGTGGCCTTCAGTGCCACCTTCTAGAAGAAACTGAGTCTCCATGGGCTCCAGAAGGACCCCAGGGAGGTGGCTGCTAAGTCAGACACCCCAACCAGTCAGTGTGAATACTGCCCAGTAAGACAGTATCTTACTGCCTTACTGGATCATGTATTCGGGGTACACTGCACTGAACTGGACTGAATAGCAGCAGGCTTCATTTTTCACTTATCCTTCTGTGATTTCCTCAGAGAGCTCCTTGTAAGGATAAACATTAGTGACAGAGATATTCAAGACCTCCTTACTAGTTGGTTTCTGTCACACTGAGGAGGTTCATGTCCTCTCTAATTTTATTTTAATTTTAGTTCAAGTAGTGGTAGGATAAATGCAGACCTTTCATTTCACCTGGAACATCACCTTTTTGATGTTTGACTTGAAAGAAATAGTTTGGATTTATTTTTTTTTTATTTCCCCCCAAAATGAATACTGAATTATAAAAAAAAAAAAATATGTTGTGGGCATTTTTATTTCATCATTTTGGGGGTTTTATACATTAGAATTTTTTTTAAATTGTCTTCAATTGCCCTCAATAGCAGTATATGCTTCCTATCATGCTATGTCAATAGCATGACAATAAAGGTCAAAATAGTCTCTTGTTTCAATGACTAAAATGACTAAAGTAGGAAATATTTGCTTCTCAAAAGTAAGTGTTTCAGTCTACTAAGCAGGAGTTGTTATTTTGCACAAGCAAAAAATAACAAAACAGAACAAACCAATGTATTAACTTGGTCTCCTAATCACAGGAAAGGAACAGGGTT